GTTACCCTTCCATCTTTCAGTCTGGTTCTGTTCGTTTCTCAGCCATCAGTTGGCGCACTGAAGTATGCCTGTATGTGATGGTAAGGTAGTTACAGGTATTCCTCAATCTCCCAAGCCGCGTCATTGCGATGCAGATTGGCAGGGGAGTGCATCTGCACTAATCTGCACAAAAGACTTGGCGTCATAGCATGCGTCTAGTTAGTCAATTTGTTTGCAAGTGATTGGACAAAATATACAGTACTCGAGCAACACGAGGATGTCTTTAAAGTCTTGAAGTCAGTGGTTGAAATGCGATGATCACCAGTTTCAAGTAGACAACCGATCCTGGTAAGATTTTAGACAGGTTTCAACAATGACATCTAATCATAACTTGCCATAATCAATTGTTCATTCAATTGTTTCATATGCTGGGGTTTCCCCATCATGAATGAGTTGCAGCGAGCTCCTCCGACTGGAATGCGGGGCCAGCAAACACATACCTATTCAGAAGCCCAGATGCTGATACGTCATACGACCAGATGATTGAATGATTTCTAGAGCTGTGTCCGGAAAATGAAAGGTGTTGATAAATCTCATTCATCATTTGGTAACTCTTACTATGTCTGTTGTAAGCACTAGCATTCATCACTGAGACGGTGGACACGTGTAGCCGGACCGGATGTTGTTTGGATTGATCCTGTCTTAGAAGGGCCAGTGTAACTGTTACCACTAACAACCATGGATTGACCTCTTGATTCAGGAACAATCCAGTCCGAATGCTACATGACATCTTACCTAGTCTATGAGTGGTACATTGACAAGTGACCATATCACACTGCGGAGTGAGCATTTCTTTTACTTTCTAACCCCGAAATCCTGCCATGACGAGTGTATTCTGCAACTATTGTTCCTGGCCAGAAATAATTGTTTCCACTTACTCTGTCTTATCTTAAATTTGACGCAAACTTCTTGCTCTTTCTAGATCGGATGGACTGTGCCATGTGCAACGTACAGTAGGGAAGACAAAGAATGATTAATTGCAACAACATGCTAACCACAATTGTGAACGTGAAACGCAAACGAAGGTCAACATTTTAGGGAGTGAGGGAGTGTTCTGCATCCGTCTCATCATTCTATAGCCTTAAAAGCATATTTACCCTTCATCCTCAGCGTCCCACGGTAACAATACATTATGAATAGGAACAGCATGCGAGTCAATAGCAGAAAGGCCAGTACAGCTCCTTACCTATTGGCCCTAAAGCAAGCCATTAGGTGCTCAACAGTGGAAACCTGGCACAGCAGAAAAGTGCAAGAGCTGTAAGAATGAAAGCTGGGTAGATGGTGTGGAATCCATCAGGAGGACTCTTGCGATAGCAACCCCCGAGTTGACAAGGGCAAGCTATGGAAGGTGTCGCGGAAGGATCGCCGTAATAGAGGGTAGCGAGGCTTGTGCTTCCGACAGAATCTCCGACGCCACCATAGCGACGGGGAGAATGACCCAGAGAATTTGTCTTCCGTAAAAGTTCAGATTTTCAGGCATCGCAGGACGATATCTGCGTATACCAGATTAAAACTTATAGGAAAGTGGACCATTAGACTCGTGTGTCTGAAGGTTAGCAAAAGCAAGGGAGAGGGTGTGCTAACCAAGGGATACTATGCTGCTGGGCAAATTATGAGTTCAAGCATAAAGAGAGAAAAACTTCACAATAAAGACCTCTGTACTGAGGTCAATGTCTGGAATGAGGTTATTAATAGACATTGAGTATGCTAGAGACATGAATATAACACTGAACATAGACAAGGTTATGCTTATTATAAGGACTACTTTTGTAACTAAGTCTACTTTACAGGCTTCTCGGGATCATACCTCTGGAATCTAGCCACAAGAGCGTGATCATAGTGAGGACCCTTATCAGCCTCGCCAGGATCGGCTGCTGTTTTAGATTCAGTTTATTGACATGTGCCTCTACAGGCTTCGAGCGTTAAAATATGGTTGAGGGAAAAAACGAGGAGCAAAAGAGGCTGCGGCATAATTCATAATTGCCATGGCTTTGGGTGATAACAGTTATCTTGGGTATACTAGACGTGAGTTTTGAAAACCCGGGGGACATCAAGAAACAACGATCAAAGGATGAGCTTGCATTAGGTATTGGCCATCAATCTCGAAGCATTTAGGTAATGACAGAACGTATGTTTGATTGGCTGAGATGTTACCATCTGGATTAAGGTCCCACTATTTTAAGAGCTTCAGCCAATTGTTCTGCTTTCCGCAATAGAATCGACGTCAAGCGGAGGAACCTGTGATTGGCCCACAACGAGCTCTGGTGAAGTAAGGTACCTCAGGTAGTTATAGGTAGGTATAACCTACCTAGTGAAGCTTACCTTGTTGATTGCCATGAGTCCACGACTCTACATAGATTGCGGTTCCTTCAAACCTGCAGGCCTTGAGTCTTCTCCGTCTCAATTGTCAATAAAGAAAAGGGCGTTCTGGTTGGGTACGAGGATTGGCTCGACAATTTGGAGTCGGCTGGCAACTTGAGGGATCTTTCTACATTATGAACAGCCAACGTGTCGAGATATCAGCATTTGCATTATATACCTGAGTGTGGGTGGACATTGTTCTATACGTATTTGATTAGCTATATGACCTGGGAAGTCCTGGCAGCTGAGAGGGTTCGCGCTTCTGGGAGGTTGAGCTAGCTTAGTGGATGGTGTAGGATCACTGGAATGTCCAGGGCCCTCAGGCATCATATAAAGGCACGTGAAAGTATAAGCACTAACAATCCACCACAATTTATATTGCGATTGATAAGTTTGATTGGGCATTTTTCCTGCACCTGGATTGGTGGACCAGCCACCTTCTGTTCCGCAGAGGTCTAATTCTAGAACCCATACGGAGTACCTACTCCGTACCTGTAAGTTGGTGCTTTGATCGTCCCGTCTGTCCCTGAGCAGTTGGCCTTCTCACATCCTGACTTCTGTGGGGTAGCAACGGCTGAATTGAGTTTTTGGCAGAGCCTCAGGAGGCAACACATTACCGGGAAAAAAAAAAAAAAACACCGTGGTCTGCCGTTCGGCTTTGGCGCCATAAAATCTCAATGGCTCAGTTGATCTTCTCTTCCCATACTTTCCTGAGAATAAGATAGACTAATCAATTCCGTTGGAGCCATGCATCGTTGATATTGTTTCCCTTTGACACTTTCTACCGCTGTCTAGAGCACATGCTTGATTAAGGCTCGTGGGCTGGTCGATCGCTGGGAAAGGATGACTGGACGCCTCCTTTCCACTTTTACTACCAAGAAGGGCCAGCTCACGTCTTCAGTTTATTATCTGCAGCCAGAGGATGAGACACCACCGAAGTCCCGGTCGACTTTATTCATCTCCAGACCATTAACGCGAAAGAAAATCTTCATCCTTGGAATAACGGGATTCCTGGTAATAGCGATCATCGTCGTGGTGATAACTGTTCCGATCGTCCTCCTGCGTCACCAAGAACCTTCTGGCCACCAAGAACCTTCCGACGACGCGAGTTATCATGACGAGTCGAACCGACCGATTTACGCCATATACAATTTTCCTGATCCTGGGATGATCCGTGTCAATGGCACGTGGTATTCCTATGCAACCAATGCGGCCATAAATAATTCTGACGTTGCCCATATTCCGGTTGCTACATCTCAGAATCTTAAGAATTGGACGCGGTTAGATGGTTACGATGCCATGCCTACATTGGCAGGTTGGGAAACGGGCGTGAATCACTGGGCTCCTGATGTTATTCAACGAGTATGCCACAGGCCATAACAATTATTTGAGGAATACCGTATTCTGACAGCTTATCTACAGAATGATGGTAGATTTGTGCTATATTACTCTGGAGAATTGAAGGACTGGAAGCGACATCATTGCATTGGTGCTGCAGTCTCAGAGAAGGAGGACCCTCTAGGACCATACCAGCCCATCTCGGAACCTCTTGCTTGCCCCCGGGAACATGGCGGTGCCATTGACCCGTCTCCGTTTCGAGACACAGACGGAAAACTGTATGTCACGTACAAAAATGATGGGAATAGCATCGGCCACGGCGGCGACTGTAACAATGGAAAGAAACCCATTGTCAAAGTCTCCATCATGCTTCAGGAGCTACAAGATGACGGCATCACCCCAGTTGGGGATCCCTTCGAGATTCTCAGGAACGAAGAGGAAGATGGGCCTCTGGTCGAGGCCCCCGACATCATCCGGACCGACAACGGCTATTACTACCTTTTTTACTCTTCTCATTGCTTCACTTCTCCAATGTACGATGTCAAGTACGCCTACTCGACGTCTTTGAAGGGGCCGTATAAGAGGGCCCCTCGCGCCTTACTCAAGACGGGAGATTTTAACCTGACGTCTCCGGGAGGGGCTACCGTAGCTCCTGACGGGACGTTTATGATATTCCATGCCAATTGTGCACCAAAGAGATGCATGTATGTCACGGAGATAGATATAGGTGCAGACAACTTGATCACAATTAGTGGACTCGGGTGATGCCATGCTGGCCATAGCATCGAATTGGACGCTGGAGATGATAACTTGGCCAGAATCCCATCATGGCCGACCTGCGAGGCGGAGGCTCCAGGAAGCCGACGCACTATCTTTTAGCATACTGTGATTTTCCAGCCTGTTTAGCCCTCATAATATGTGCACCGTCTTCGAAGGAACCTCTATAGTCCATTCTCATCAGAAAATACCCTCCGGTCGGACTTAAGACTCTCGCCAAGCGGGAGCACCGGACCTGCCAAACTGCCGACAGCCAATCAGATGTCTAGAAAATGACGCCATTAGCCCTTTAGTGGTGGGGGCGGGCCTAAGGCAGCTCTCCGCCTGCGCAATACGGAAAGTAAATGAAAGCCGCTGGCTCATAAACACTGTACTCCGGAGGTCAGAACGATGACTTCTCCACACCCGTTCACTTGCAGTTTAATTTCGGCTGGAGCATTCAGCTACTGCTCGATAGTTGTCTTGTTTTGGTTCTGTCGAAGGAAATGAGCTCTCTCCAAGGCGTGGCACGCTCAGCTCCTCGTGGTCTCCAGGCCGTCGGACTGTGGAGACAGAGCGACAGTGTCGCGGCCAGTTTTACCACAGCAAGAAACCGATTTCAAATCAGCACATTGAATCGTCGCTTATTACACTCAGCTCCTGCTCGAAAGATACAAAGTGCCACCGCCGAAAATCCTCCAGCGCGAGATTCATCGAACCCGGCACTCTCATTTCCTTGTCTCGACGCCCTGGACGCGAAATCGGCGCTGCTAACGGCCAGGTCGATCGAGTCGGGTCCAGAACCTTCATACACGACCGGACAACATGAGAGCTTCCATTGCGAAGAGCCATTGCTACTAGACTGGGGTGGTGTCTTGCCAGAGTTTGATATCGCGTACGAAACATGGGGTCAGTTGAACGCGGACAAGAGCAACGCTATTCTATTACATACTGGTCTGTCGGCGTCGAGTCATGCACATAGTACCGAGGCCAACCCGAAACCGGGATGGTGGGAGAAATTCATCGGTTCTGGCAAGCCGTTGAACACGGACAAATACTTTGTTATCTGTACAAATGTTATTGGGGGTTGTTATGGGAGCACAGGCCCGTCGTCGATCGATCCGTCCGACGGGAAGAGATACGCAACGCGGTTTCCCATCCTTACACTGGACGACATGGTTCGAGCACAGTTTCGTCTACTGGACTCATTGGGAGTCCAGAAACTGTACGCCTCCGTTGGCTCCAGCATGGGTGGGATGCAGAGCCTTGCGGCGGGCGTGTTGTTCCCCGAGCGCATAGGAAAGATCGTGAGTATCAGTGGATGCGCCCGGAGCCACCCTTACAGCATCGCCATGAGACACACCCAACGCCAGGTGCTGATGATGGACCCGAAATGGAACCGCGGTTTCTACTACGACTCGATCCCGCCTCATTCGGGGATGAAACTCGCCAGAGAAATCGCAACAGTCACGTACAGAAGTGGACCGGAATGGGAGAAACGGTTCGGGCGCAAGCGCGCCGATCCCAGCAAACAGCCGGCCTTGTGTCCTGACTTCCTTATTGAGACCTATCTCGATCATGCTGGCGAGAAATTCTGCCTCGAGTACGACCCAAATAGTCTACTCTACGTCTCCAAAGCCATGGACCTATTCGACCTCGGCCGGTCGCAGCAGGCGGAGACCAAGAAGCGCAGACAGGGTTTTGAGGCTCGTATCGCCCAAGGCGGCAAGACACTCCACTACAATGATGCCTCGTGCAGCTTGACATTACCCGAAAAGCCTTACGAGGAGCAACCCTCCATAACCGACTCCAGCTCTTCGGCCGACGAGTCAGTCGCCGCAGGTGAGCAACCAGATGCACCACCCGCCGACCTCATCGCCGGTCTCGCGCCGTTGAAGAACCACCCGGTCCTGGTCATGGGTGTTGCCAGCGATATTCTCTTCCCCGCGTGGCAGCAACGTGAAATCGCCGAGACTCTTCGCGCGGCTGGAAACAAGAACGTCGAACACATCGAGCTGGGCGAGGACATCTCCTTATTTGGACATGATACGTTCCTACTCGACTTGAAGAATATCGGCGGCGCCGTTGAGAGGTTTTTGCGCTAATTGGCGCTTGTAGAGTCTATATTTTGTCCAGTATCTGTGCCTCTGTGGCACAGTCGATGATGAATGACACGATGCATCTGAGCGTACATTTGTTTTTAGTATTTTATTGGATATACGATTCACCATTTATGTACACCACCCTTCAATTGAGTCTAGCTATTCAATCCACGATTATCGGTTGTCACAGATCGTAGATAACAGACGGACACTAACAAATAATATCAAAGCCCTCAGATTAGCTCTCAGGTTCTCATTGGTTTCCAGGCATAAGTAGATGCGTGTGTGTACACGTGATGGGCCGGATACCATACAACTTTGGCTTTTGGTTCATCCTCGTCATCGGGCAGATTTGGAAAAAAAAGAAGCAAGACAGACAAAAGAGCGCGTACAACGATATAAATGGGGTAACAAAGGGCTTGATAAGCTGTAGATATTAGTCTGGTAGACTTCTAGAGTCATTGTCTCCAAGCCAGTTACGGACTCAATGACAATGGTTTTGCGGAATCCATCTGTCCATCGGCATCTCGAGGACGGGTCCGAAGCCAAATTTAATAAACACAGGGCTGCGGTTTCACAGCATGTCATCATTCGCTTCTCTTGTTGACAGTTAGCAGGGCCAGAATGGCAGTAATTTTGGCTGATAGTGCGAATCGAAGAGATATCGAATGAGATCTCTGGGCAGGTATAACTAGATAAATGTGAGTATGTGGAATGAAGAGAATCCCGCTGCCGGCCATATCAGATTGAAAACTACCTCAGTAATTTTCGGCCCCTCATCGGTAGGTCCGCTCGGCATCGTTTCGTTATCCGCGAAACAGATGGGCAATTGCACCTCGGAGTTATGCAAAGATTGTCATCATCGGCTCGGGCGTTGACGGTCTCGGTAATCTGGTGTCAGGAAAGAAAGAAAGAGAGAGAGAGAGTAGAGAGATAGGGGCTGAGAGACTAAAAGGAAAAGTAAGAGAGGGAAGGAGAAATGTATGTAAAAACTGTGCGAGTTACGGGAGCCCTGGCAGCCTAGATTCCTGCCTTCTCATGTATCCTGAAGTGATATCCAATGCCCAATCCACAACATAAGAGGAAGACATCGTCACCAGAAAGGACAGCGGGCTGTATGATCGCGCTGGCAAAGTTTGTTCCCGAATCAATACCATAAGGATGAGAAGAAGCCAGACTTTCGCTGATCTCTTGGATCTCTGTTCAACTCAGTCACCCACATCTAAAGGCCACGTCTTCTTCCATTCCCAGCGCAGGCGCCGCGAAGGATGAAGTCCGTGATCTGGAACACGTTTGGTTCAGTTGTGTCATGAGCGCTCTTGTGATGGTTTTATCGTCATCGAGATAGGAAAGGTGTTCTTCTTGAATCTGTGCCGGATGCTGTTAGACAACAATCAATGTTAATTTTGGCTAATAGTGCACAACTTACCCATGTGGTTGGATGAGATGGACATCTTGTGTTGTCAACAGTCGGAAGAGTCTCGAATCCCGTTGCTTTGGACGCGCATAGACGAGGGCACGTGACCATACATCATGGTCCCACTTTAAGCTTCGAGAAAGTCCACCGAATGAGCCGACTACGTCAATTGCATAGACATGATTGCATGTTGATTTCTTCCTGGAGGGCTTTGGTGTATACATCCCAGGTCACTCGGTTGGTCGGTCAGTCTTGTGAAGCATTGTGTCCTTTTCAGCGAATTATCGCAATTGTCACACTACTACGTCAATTCGGAAAAACTAAACGATCAAGCCGGCTCTGATACTTGCGTCAAATGTCCTCGTGGCTCCAGCGCCAGGTTGGCCAGCAGCAGGCTCAGCTTGCAGTCACTGCTGTAGTCTCTGGAGCTGCCGTTGCCGGCGCAATCTTCGGCTACCAAGCTCTGAGAAGGAAAGAGGCTGTGCAGCATCTTAAAGCTTCAATCCCTCCAATTGACGAAAGGCATCATGCAGAAAAGGTAACCCAACTGTGCCAAGTCAATTCACTGAGGGCTTATGCTGATTACTGCTCTATGTGCAGCTTACAGAGTACGGTACAGCGGCGTCATCAACACAATTGAATAAAGAGGATGAACGCAGCGCGGCTCTTGCGCGAAGAGCGCAAGAGGGTGACTATGATGACGGTTTGTTCATCCTCTAGCGGCCCTTCCCTAGTAACAACAGTGCTGACTGCACGGCCTTTGGCCAGATCTCATACTCGAACAACTCGCCCGTAACCGTGTATTTCTTACCGACGAAGGCCTAGCGAAACTCCGTTCATCATTCATCATTGTGGTTGGGTGTGGTGGTGTGGGCTCTCATGCAGTCGCCTCGCTTGCCCGTTCGGGCGTCGCGAAGATTCGCCTGATTGACTTCGACCAAGTAACATTGTCCTCTTTGAATAGACACGCTCTCGCTACCCTCGCCGACGTGGGCACTCCCAAGGTGCATTGCATTAAAAAGAGATTGGAACAGATTGTCCCCTGGGTCAAGTTTGACTGTAGGAACGAACTCTTTGGTGGATCCGCTGCCGCAGATCTACTTGCTCCGTGGTCATGGGATGACAGCGACAAGGGACGAAAGCCAGACTACGTGCTTGACTGCATCGACAATATCACATCAAAAGTTGAACTGCTGCACTATTGCCATTCCAACTCTATTCCCGTGATATCGTCAATGGGAGCAGGATGCAAATCCGATCCCACACGCATTATGGTTGGGGACATCTCACTGAGTACCGATGACCCTCTGTCGCGCAGCACTCGACGACGTCTCAAGCTCCTGGGGGTTAACTCGGGCATTCCCGTCGTATTTTCAACGGAGAAACCCGGTCCTGGAAAGGCTAGTCTTTTACCACTTGCCGAGGAAGAATTCGCCAAAGGACAGGTTGGTGAGCTCGGCGTGCTGCCCGAATTTCGGGTTCGCATTCTCCCCGTCTTGGGGACCATGCCTGCTGTTTTCGGATATACCGTTGCCAATCACGTCATCTGCGACATCTCAGGCTATCCTAATGATTACAATGTCGGCGGAAAAGGCCGGGAAAAGCTCTATGATAGCATCATTGCATCTCTACAAGGATTACATGAAAGATTGGCTCGGGCTGAAGTTGGGCAGGATCTCATTGGGCTTCGTATTCCTATCAGCAAAGATGATGTTGGATACCTCGTGGAGGAGATCTGGAGGGGCAGGAGTGCTATTAGCAACCTAACTAACCGGTTGATATTGGTACCCTGGCAACGACCGGCTCGGGGCTTCTCGCCTGATCCAGAGTGGGAAAAGGAAGGACAGAAGTTCATTCCGATTGATTTGAAGAACCTCGTTTGCATGACCAAGGAGGAGGGAACTCGCCATGAGCGGGAGGTCCTCCGAGGTGGAAAGGATGTGACAGAGGTATATGACGAGAAGGTCTTGGAGAAGGTTAAGAAACATATGGCAGAAGTGGAAGTTCATGAGAGATTCCGTTAATGTATTATAAGCAGCTGTATAGAAATTGTATTCACGAATCTGACGGTCTATTACCTACGACTTTATATGTCTGATCTGCAACAATGCTTGGATATTGTTACGACCACATCAAGATAAAGATGGATTACATAGCCATACAGATCAGGCGCTGCGCCACTAGCCCAAGAAAGGAATAGTGGTTCAAACTGTCCACTAACCCGATTCTCGGATTCAGCCTCAGGCTCCACTTCGAATCTACGTCTTAAGCGTGCTAAGAATAACGATGAAGTCGTCACAAGTGAAACCTGCTTCCTTCCATCTCGCCATTGACCGCTACAGTAGTTCCATGCAGGTCCATGGTTTATTTGTTCAGCTCACGAGTACCGTCTTAGGACATACATGCGAATCTCCGACCTTGGGTGCAACTGAACCATTGCGGATTTCATCGCCAAATCGCCGAGACCTGCAGACTCTCCGCCCATGGCGGTTCACGCAGACAGGGAAAGCCTAGAGATCTCCGACGACTGCTCAGACGATGGATTCCCACGGTCGCCGCCAGGCTACTCCTACCGAATGAATAGGTACGCTCGCCCGCTCGTCGACTACGCGCGCAACGAATGGCAAGCGAGAACCAAATACACCGCCCTCTCCGTTTCCCCTGACGCTTCCGACTCCCCGCAATGGGTGCAGATGTTCATGTCTATGGTGAGGGCGCCGCGCTTTCGCCGATACGCGATTGTATACCTGCTGCTCCTGGTGTCTTGTCTTGGGGGGTGGCTGTTTCTCTCGCCGCGGCTGGAGGAACAAGAGGCGCTGCTGCACTCGTTGGACCCGTCGACTAAGGACGATGTGGGGGGTTGGTTTGGTATGAATGCACTGCCGAGATTTGACAATATTACGCATCTGAGGGATCTGGATACTTCGTTGTTGCCTGCCGTAAAGGCGCAGAAGGACGGACAGTCTAGCTCGCGGAGGTTGATTTTCATCGGAGATGTGCATGGCTGCAAGGATGAGCGTGCGTTCCCTTCCTACCTTTCTCCTTGTGTCATGCCGTACTGATCGATGTGGGCAGTGGAACTCCTTCTTGACGAAGTCTCGTTTGACCACGACCGCGACCACCTCATCTTCGCTGGCGACATGATCAACAAGGGCCCGGACAGCCCCGGGGTCGTCGACCTGGCCCGCCAGTACGCCGCCTCCTGTGTCCGGGGGAACCACGAAGACCGGGTGCTGCTGCTCCGCCACGACATGGAGGCATCGAATACCCTCTCGCCGGACTCGGACGGCGATATCAGCCCAGAACTTTTCTTCGGGCTGAAAAAGAGGGAGCGCGCTCTCGCGCGCCAGTTATCCAACGAACAAGTGCAGTGGCTTGACGCTTGCCCCGTCATCCTGAACGTGGGCCAGATCCCGGAATTGGGACAGGTGGTCGTCGTGCATGGGGGCTTGGTGCCGGGCGTGGAGCTCGACAAGCAGGATCCCGCGAGCGTGATGAACATGCTGACCATCGATCTGGATACCCATGTGCCTAGCTCGACGCGGAACGGCACGAAGTGGACCAAGGTATGCGCTACGCTCCGTTAATTTCCCCGGCAGATTGCTAAACTGACAATGGCAGCTGTTCAATAAACATCAGTCTCTACTGTACTCTAGTCTGAAGGATTCCGTGCCGGACCCAAAGTCGCAGGTTATGACTGTGATTTACGGTCATGATTCGAAAAATTCCTTGTCGCTCAAGACGTATACCAAGGGTCTGGACTCTGGGTGCGTCAAGGGTGGGAAGTTGACGGCTATGGTTGTCGAAGACGGCGGGAAGCAGAGCGTCATCCAGGTGAGATGTCGCAATCATCTGAAGGAGTAGTTTCGGATTCTCATGCATTGTCTGGTGTTCGGGGGCCTACATTCAATCTCGTCAAGGGATCATGGACATAATACGGATACATTTTTCGGCTGGTACTTATCTTACATTGTGCTCGGAGTTGAACAAGTAGAAATAGATTGGGATCTGATGACAATCGAGAAAACACTAAGACGGAGCCGAGCGATTCCAACTCCCATCAACGTCCCAAACAACTGGCTTCGTAAAATCTTCGTACCACACTCCACCCAACGCACTCACTTTGATATACCCGAAGCGGAAATATTCCGGTTCCTCCGCCCTACGTCTCGTCCAATTGAACGATTCTACTGATCCATCCCCTGAGCGGAAAGCATGGAATCTCTCCACGTCGTTGACAAGCACACTAATCCCATCCGCCTCATCAGTTAGATTCTTCAGGAAAGTGAAAACGATCTCCTGCGCAGAAACAACCAGAGGGGCGCCGATCTGCGGAAGCGCACTCCCCAACTGCGCACCGTCAAGCAGCGCGGCAGGCGTTTGGAGAATACTATCGAACCCCCAGCGGGCGATTCCGTTGATGAACAATCCCACAAGGAGCCCGGAATACACCAGACTCGGCCGGGTCTGCAGCGCTGTCCCGGGGAGGAAGAGCAAACTGAGGATGTAGTGGTGGATGCGGAGGTTCATGTGCGGCACCACGAGGAGCGCGAGGACGGCGGCGGACAGGATGCCGTAGATGGCGAGCATTTTGGGGAGACGGCCTTCGTTGCGGAAGGCGATGGCCTGCGTGATGACGATGCCGCATAGAAGGGCGACGATGATGATCAGAGCTGGTATGGCGCCGGGCTGCTGTTGGATATCGTGAGGTGTGAGGCGAGATATGGGGATCTTGTCGAAGGTGTCGGTGTTGAGGGCGCCGACCCAGCAAGGCCCCAGCCAGAGAATGGTCTTATCCCAGTGGGCGTCTAGGTCTTTTAGAGTGTGCCTGACGCAGAAATAGTACAAGGCGAAGCCGACGAAAGCGCAGGGGAGGAATCTGCCTAGAGCGATGGAGACGAGCTCGTAGTAGTTTGGAGAATATGGGGGATCGGACGAGAGGGCGACTTGAAAATAGACGATGAAGAACATCGAAGCGTAGAATGCCGCTGGAGAAGTGATAGAAAGTGAGAGCAATGCCGAGACTACCACGGAGAAGGCGAACAGCGGCCAACGGATGTCCTGGCAGTCAAGACCACCGCCTTCTGCGGACCCCTCTCCATCAAAAGTGAAGGACAAGGGAAAATTGGAAGGAAAAGCAATGCTTGAAATACCGTTCTTCTCCACAGATAGGAAATTGGACTGTTCGCCCGTCCGACGGAGGACCCCGCAGCCGCCTTTGGCATCACTAATGAGTCCTGCATGCAGCGCAGCAGGACAGATGGCAGAGTCGCCGCGATACACACCGTAGCTGCTCTCATGCCCACCTCCGAGCTCGCCTCCGATGACGAGAGTCCGGTAATTGATCTCCTGCGGGCCAATGAAGTATGGTTCGAGAACCATTGCGGCCGAACAACTTGCAGGGCAGCGGAACGCGAATGCGCCGTCATCAAACGGACGACATCCGTCACCGTTTAGACCACAGTCGGTGCCATTGGACCTATATCATCAGCGTGCGTTGTTTTGAGGATGGAAGAAGTGGCCTTAGCTTACCACAGTCGACTGTGACAGGATAGCTTGACGTGTTCTTCATAACCCGTTACATCCGAGCCGGGAATTGCAGAATGTAGCGACGTTATGAAAACAACTCCCCAAAAGGCCAGGCAAGACAGAAGAAGCAAGACCTTGCTGATAGTACTTGGAAAGAACCTCTGCACCAAACGCCCTGGCGCCGTCTGCCAGCGGGGCAGCAAAGGATTGATCTGGTATATATGAGGGGTCGAAGGCCCCAGTACCCACGACCAGATTGCAGTTACGGAACACGAAAATCGTCTTGAAGATCTGCGATGTTGTTGTTGATGCTCATGGACTGGCAAGAGCGGTTCCCTCGTGCAGTGTTCCTGACCGGCTCGTGCCGAATCGGCGCTCCCGCGAGCTACCGGCATAAAGTGGCTGAACTCGGAACTTTCTTCATGGTGGAGGATTTCTAACGGATAGTCCTGGATTTCACGAGGGACTTTCTCGTAGGGAGATGAATTTCTAGAGCTTGAGTTTGATGAGGACTCAGGGTCTGACAGCATCTTCGATTCTGTGATTTCTGTCCATGATAAGAATGGGTATCGTGGAGGGAGATCAAGTAAGACCGAAACGGTAGTGGGGATGGGCCCACCTTAGTCAGATACCCTTATCCATACTACGAAGTAACGACCAGACATAGTGCCGTATTGACTCTATACATCCTTTGTCCTTTGAGAACAATCAGAATGAACAGCAAAGTTATATTAAGCGCATATATCACACAGAGGATATGACCTCTTAACCAGCAAAAATAGTATGTCGTCAACATGCCACACGAATCGTTAGCACAAGAGAGGGTATCAAATCAGCAGATAACCAACGTAACGGCAGTGAAAAATCGTCAACTCGTTTCCCATATCACCCACCAGGCTATTTCCTAAGTGAGCCATGATAAAGGGTACAGTAATTATGTTCAGGGGTCTTAAGGGTTGCAGTCGTCGTAAGTTGGCACAACAAGGAACGCTTGCGAAAAGTTGGTCGAAAGTTTGATAGATTCAACCGTTCACTGCAGGTCAATGCCCGAGGTAAGGACAGACAGAGTATGGTATTAAAGACAAAATAACGACTAGACAGCGGAGCGACCAAAACGACGACGGCCACTATAGAACAAGTCAGATTGTCATATTTTAGATTTGTCGAGGCAGTCAACTTACTAGTAGCCATCAGCGTTGGCGCCCCTCACGCGGAAGGTGAACCAGATGCCCTAGCAGATGTTGTCAGAATCAGGATCCTTGGGTTATAGACTTAGTAGTACGAACCACAAGAGCGGAGGCGAGCCACACGATGGCGGAGAGGAAGCTGAATGCTTCAGCGGCCTTCCAACGGCCACAGGAGTCGTTGCTGTAGGTGTCAAAGTGCCAGCGCCAGATACTGCCGCAGTTCAACTTGTGGATGGCATCGACAAGAATGCCGAAAGCTGCGAACCAGGCGAAAGAAATGATCACGTCAACTGTAGATTTTTTTCCTGTTAGCGACAAGGTATCATCGTGCGCAACAGGGCAGGGAGAGCAGACATACACGGCCAGGAGAAGAAGCCAGAAGAGAAAGGTATCAGCCATATGAGACCGAGTAGTATGGATAAGCCGGCGACGACTTCAGTGTAGATCCACCGTGCTTGTGGCCATGCATCAGTATCCGAAAACTGATGCAGATAGTAGCCAATGACGCCTGCGACGACCTTGGGTTACCATAGAGTCAGCTGCGCTCCAGCATTTCATCGGGCTGGGATGCATACCGCGGCAAAGGCGATCTCTGCGACACGCAGGACAATTGAGATTAGACGCGAGACGACAGGCATTGTGATATGGGAGATTATTGGATTAGATGGTTGTTGGAAAGATGTGGTCGGTTTTTTTCACAACGAATGACTTTGGAGACCTTGTTATTATAGACGATGGTTTGAGAATAGGCTGACTGAGGAAGAATTGTACAGAGCGTTAATAGAAGAAGGGGAAAGAAAATAAAGAAAAAGGGAGGTGAATGCAGTTTAAAAGCTTCGCCGGCGCAGTCGTCACACACGATGATGATCATCGCAAGTACTAGTCTTTTTTTGTCCGCTTCTTCCATGTGCTTCGGTATCGTCTCTGCCATCTCTGCCATCATCGCATGGGCACGACATCTTGGTCTCGAAACGATTGGCTGCCTGGGAAACCCTCTGGTCTGCCCAACTTTTCTGGGCACAGACAATCATTGAACCTTGAGCAGCTCCTAACGTTGACTACAGTAGTGATCAGGATGGGTTGACCGCTCATTTGGGCGATGATTGACATTACCGCTCCAAGGCATCATGCGTTGTTCTCTAGTCTTTACCGAGATACCCCAACAAGGATTACTGCAAGGAATTGACTGCGCTGTATGTATGGTTGTACCATTGTCTACCTAGAATTGATCGTGCGGCAGTGCCACAACTAAGGCTGAAGCTCTTCTCCACCAGATCCACTCCTAGCGATTTCGGGAAATACTTCTCAAAGCAAACCAGAGTTATTCTCAGCTTCATTTTTGGGTGTGGGCTATTGTTCCATTCTTTTCGAGCTCTCAGTCGACCGTCATAGCAGTGCATGTAAAACACAGAGTACCTCATATACCTCATTACTTCAGGGCTGTAGATAGAACAATATTCTGAACCATCTTAGATAGAAGCGTTGTTATTGTTTGGATGACGAAATCCAAGACTCCTTGCTGCCTGACGTCATCCCAGAAACAGAATGCAGCAGCCTGGATCGTCTGACCTTTCACTCTCCTCTCAGCCCTAACGCCGTCGACGTAGCTCTTCCTCTATACCTTGGCATGGATTGAGGTAATTTAGCAAACACTGCGCAGCGTCACTGGAACAGTTTATTAACCAGATTCACTCGGTTTCCGAAGAAATTGCCATAAATTATAGATGTTAGAAGCCTAGGTACCAATACGCGATCAAGAATTACCAGCAAACCAGATTGACAAACCAATTTTGTCAAGTAGACCCTCTTCTGTTATTCTCCAAGAACCATTCCATAACCGTACGAAAACTCCCTTTGGCACCGCTCTCAATAATATCCCCGTGACACGGAATCAACCGATTAAAATCCCACTTATCGATCCTCCTCATTGACTCCGTAAACGCCTTCCGATCCGCACTCGACAGAATATACCACGCAAACCGCTTCTGCCACGTAGCGGGCGGCTCCGCGGACATCACGTTGTTGATAATCTTCGCAAAGATCCCCGATGTCGCGCCCTCCTTCGTCCGCGAGTACTGCTCCCGAGCCGGGAGATTAAACATGAGATCCGCCTCGATGAGTGTGCGCGACCGCTTATGTAGGAAGACTAGCTCCCGCGACGAATGTCCGTACACATACTCGGACTCAAACTCCGCGTCGAATTCCTCCGAGATCTTGCGGGGTCGTTGATGCTGGTCCTCTTTCCGGAAGATGTGAGAGAACGGTGTGTCTTTGTACTCTGGGTTCGACTGGCGTTTCTCCCAGAGGCCTTCCGGGGCGATTATCTCGGCCTCGGGGTATGCTTCTTTCCACGGCGTGAGGTGGATGTGGTGCTCGAGATCTAGTGCAGCGATGTATTTCACCTGGCCCATCTGAGAGATCATCTCGCGGACTTGGGGTGTGAGGGTGACCGGGGAGAAGACAGCGAGCGAACCTGAGGGCAGTTTGACTGTTCAAGCTTAGTTAGCAACTCAATATAAATTGATGATACTTTTTTTGACGGGACTCACCCAGTGTTCCTCGTGCGCCAAACTTGAGACGGCCAAATCGTGCGAACGGCAGACTCATGGTGATGATGTCTGAGGTGACGTTTCGGATCACCATCACATCTTCTGGGTTGGATGGGAATAGTCGAGGCATAATAGGCGGTTTTTCTTTTGTTTGAGCAGCTGAAAATAAATGCCTATTTGGCTACCTGAGCTCAATTGCTCTTCCTATCGCCTGTGCACGTGTGCCTTGGATAATCAGGATCAAGATAGTACCGCAGCTTCGTAGTGAAAACTCACTTTCATCTAGAACGGTGAGTTCTCCTTGAGAAGCTCGTCAGTTGAATCTGGTAAACTACGAGATTCCAGCACATGTTGCATGACATTGACATGAGCTGTTGGAGCTGTCGGTTTCTGGTGGGGCGGCAATGACGTCGATGCATCTTCCATCGGAGAATTGCTCATAGCTTAAATCCAACATATAAAGCTAAGCTCAAATAAGTCATGACTTTTCAGGAGTGTCAGCCACTGACATATCATCTTAATTTGTATTTGCTCGGTGTTGATGCCACGAGACTCAGTTACACTTCAGGCTGCAGATCTGGGTTGCCCCACACCTCGCAGCAATGCCATGACGTCTTGTCAGGCTATCCTCGAGGCTATATCGCGATATTGAATGTGTACTCCAATTCATGGCAGCTTCAAGACGGATATAACATCCAAAACTGCATGGGTATCGCTTCTATACAATAACCACACATCTGACACGGAAAAGGACATGTGCCTTTCAGCTGTACCAACCACCGCCCGTCGACTGTGACTGCTCTTCGGGGCGATGTTCGATTATAGACTCCTTGATATCATATACCTCAATGATCTGGCGCCATGTTTCAAAATCGAGACTGAAGATAGCCTGGTGTTTCTGGACTCCTTTCTTCTGGGCCTCACTCGGAGCGTACGGTTTCGAGGGATCTAGGGGTTGAACAGATCAGCTCCATAAGCCACTCGGGATTAGACCGGCAGGGGACTTACGTAGAGTGGGTAACTGCCGACTGTCGGTTGATATCCCGACAGTCCCATCTCGTACCAAAAAGCTGACATAGAACAAGTTTTCCACACTTTGCCCAAATGACCTTGGGTTGATGCAAAAGTGAAAAAGAGGTACTCCTCCGTCGTCAGCAACATGATACTTGGCCATGACTTCCTGGACAAGCTCCTCCGTAGGCTCTTCCTCCATCTGCGAGAGTATTCTATCCACAGTATTCTGGCCATGAGTTACCGTTTGCGCGAGCAATTTGTTTATCTTGGCGCACATGGTCGTGAGGTTCGACGTCTCCTGCCTGTCGAGGTCCTTCTCCTGTAGCTCCTGTGGTCGAACCGCCTGCGATGGGTCAATGCGCTCTCTCGCTCGTCGTTGCGTCACTAGACGGGTGCGCTTTTGTACCGACAACGGCCCCAAAAGAAAACCAGAAACTGAAGGCCGGGAGTTATGGCGGAAGCAGGCAGCCCGCCCCAGCCAATCCCAGTTCATTGCGTCTCCAGACTCATCATCACTCTCGTCCGGGTCTGCTTGACTGCGTCCGGAAGGACGGGGCCGTCGACGTTGCGTGCTGGATAATGCGGCGTCTGGATCACTTGGTCCGTGGCGCATAAACGAAATACACTTCGAAACGAACTCGTCGACATCGATACCCGCTGACGCATCTCCTAAAGTGAACTGTGCTGTTTTCTTATATCCCAAATCTGCGGCAGTGACCAGGAGACGAGAATCGATGGTCGCATCCGACGTTTGCTTGACGTTTTGGAAGATCTCATTGG